TAGAGGGGCGTCAGGTCATCTAACGTCCCCCTGTTCTGTTTTATGACTCCTATCAGCTGCAGCGTCTCAGGACATCATGTCAAATCAGTCCAACAAGTTTTTATTTTATTCTTTTACTCTGCATAAATTTTGTAAACTACCTAAGTGGTCGAGGGGCTGGGTGTGTGTCATATAAACATCACAAACTGAACATTTCATGGTTAAATGTCTTTTAGACTAACATGTCCCTCAGATAGACAGCTCCTGTTTGGTCTTCACTTTGGCCTTGGTTAAACCAGCTTTCCACACTCTCCAGACCAACCAGCAAATATCTGGCTTTCACACAGAGCAAAATAACTTAAAACATACAAATGTTTTATTTGCTAGACCGGTTTCTTTTTTAAAAGACTATTTTATTCAAAAAGATATTATTTAGATGGTTTCAGCTCATGTAATTATTTATTCTTCATATTTGATCATTTATTTAATTATATTTATCCCAGAAAAGCTGTATCACAGTATGGTCCTCAATATAAACAAGTTTAGCACATTGTGGTGGCACGATTTACTAAGAATGCAGAAACACGTTGGAATAAATGCACAGAAAGTCTGCGTGTATGGTCGTCAAATGATTTAATTTGAGCAACAACAGAGCAGAAGTCAATCAGAGAAGTCTGTCAAGTTGTGGCTGCCGCATCAACGCAGAGCAGCCGATAATATAACATCCTGTAACATGCTTACAACCAATCACATTTCACCAACTGTGAACCATCTAACCAATGGCAGAGTTGTCAGCCCGGAAACACCTTATTAAAATAAGAGAGGTCATGCATTGCTGGAGTCTTGAAGTCTGGGCCGATAGATTAAAAAAGCCGAAACTAGTTATCATGASATATGATTACTGGACARTGTCAAGGTAGAACAGAWATACATAATTATTCCATAACAAACCCTCCTCTTTGAGTAAACAATACTCAAACCAAATAAAAAGGAATAATTATCAAACGTCTAAACACAAATGCAAAAATCAACAACATAATGTAAAAATGAGGGAAAAATAGTGCAAGTTATATGACGACCAAAAACATATACATTCAATTACTGCAAGATACAACAGGAAAAAGGCATAAAAGACAAATGAAACATCATTACACATCAGAAGAATTGATGAAGAAAAACATGTCAAAATTAAAAAAAACTTAAAATTCCAAAATTCAACAAGTTATCACCACAAGTTCTGCCCCCCTCAAATATGAATAGTATTAGCCGAGTATGTTCCCTCAGAATATTACTTGGATAATGTGTTAATTTAATAACAACTAGTTGTCAATAAATGAACCTTAAGTAAAGTAAATTAGGACAAGGTGAGTTGAAAAAATGCTGAAGGCATTAACTTCTAGCAAAGCGATTGGACAAGTTCAAAAGCAAATCATAAATGAAGACAACAAAACTTCATGAATAAATGTGGAAATGTCATTAAAATGTGCAAAATNTACTAAGATCAATTTTCCAAGCTCAGTGAGACAGATAGTCTAAACAGGTGAAGACCATAATAACATATTGAAACCATAATCCATAATAATAATAATAATAATAATAATAATTCATTTTATTTGTTAGCGCCTTTCAAGACATCCAAGGACACTTCAAACATTAAAAAGGGCAGCAGGACAGGCTCCTGTACACCTGTCTGACCTCCTGCATCAATTGCTTTTAGTTGTTCTGGTGTCCAGGATGGTCCACTGAGGTGATCGGGTCTTGCCAGTTGTGGAACCAGCTTGCCCTTTCACATCAGACAGGCTTCTTGGTATTTTTAAATCCTACTTTTAAAACGCATTTGTTCTCGCTAGCTTTTAAAACAACCAATGTTTTTATTTTGTTTCGTCACATTTTAATTTTATTTTATTTTTAATTCTTTGAATATGTTGTTGTAATTTGTTGATTTTGTACTATGTTGCTCAATGTTTTGAATCAGCTTGCTGCTGGGTTATTCAGCTAGTTTTTCATATTTTGGTTGCAAACCACTAGACCTGTTGCAATAAGCAATAATTGAATTAATCGCACAATAAATAAAAATGAAACTGTATTTTGTTCTATAAAAAATTCAGTTTGACTGCTTTCACTTTCAGTTCCAAAATTCAGATTTTTGTGTCACACATCCTGGTCTTTGAGAAAGCCAGCTATAGTAATCAAACACAGCTCCACATATTAACATTTCACTTTGGTGAAACTGCCATTTTGTAATATAACAGAGTTGATGCAATCCACCCTATGAGTGACAAAAAAACACCACAAAGTTATTTAATGAGTGATTAATTTTACTTATAGACAACGTCACATTTACATCCCGTCATGGGTCAGTCAGCAGCAGCGTTTGATGAATAACTGCCTGCAGCTGAGAGCAAGGATGTGCGAGAACTGAGGCATCAGTCGCTGCTTTGAGACCGGGGAGGAGCTCGCAGCAGACCTCCCTGCCCATCTGAGTCCCTGTAACCCCCTTGCCAACGCTCCTTGACGCGTGTCCACCATAGCCTTTGCGTGTAAACCTGACGCTCAAAACGCGTTTGGTGTGAACGTAGCATTACGTGATGTGTCTATGTTTTAGGGAAGAAGACAACCACTGGATCTGTAAGCCCTGGAACCTGGCTCGTGGACTGGACACACACATCACTAATAATCTGGATTATATTATCAGACAGAGAGAAAGTACACCAAAGGTAGCAGCACACTCATGAACAGACAGCATACTGTCATTTCACTCACACATTTGTCAGCGATCTTTATTCATCCAGGCCATGGCAATCCTAAAAGTATATTATTGAAGGCACCTACGCTTCAGTTTAGTTCTGTTTATTTCTATAGTAGCTCCTTGTCTTTTCTCGTAGGAAGAAAAGTTGGAAACACTTGTTTGTGTCAGACAGAACTGCCACAGTTCACGTGCCTTTTTTGGACTCTTTATTTCTCAGGTGGTGTGCAAGTACCTTAATGATCCAGTGCTGTTCAACAGAGAGGAAATAGGAATGGTGAAGTTTGACATTCGCTACATGCTGATGTTGCGTTCTGTTCAGCCTCTGCGTCTTTATGTCTACAATGTATTCTGGCTTCGCTTTGCCAACAGGTAATAAATTCATCCTGGTTAGAAAGCATAAAATCAACATCAATAACTACTTTATTTGCAAAGACATCCAAATAATTTATGTTAAATCCACTTTTATGATTAGATTAAAGAGATCCACGATTAGTTGTAACATTAGACTTTATTTAATAAACATAAATTTTAACTGTAAAATAAAGAGTGTAAAAATATTGTAGGATGTTCAGTTTTTATAATTTTTAAACTAAAAGTTTAAAAATATATTTTAACACAGACGGGGCCATTTTATTTACACACAAAGCATTCTGGGTGAATGATGATGTGGATAGGTCCTCGGTGCAAGGCNAAAACAAAAAAAAACAGTAAACCCAAAACATCCAGAAGTGCCTAATTGTTTTAAAATTATGTTACGAGATGGGCCTCAGAAATGGACCAGGGGTAACCCTGATGCCACCCAGGAGGGRGAGCTAAATACCAACCCAGCTACCCAGGGCGTCAAAACAATCCCTGAGAAAAACCAGGAAATTTCAAACATTGCACAGACATAGTTGCACAGCAGGTAAAACAGTGAAACATTTAAAATGCGTAATAATAAGCCAGTCAGAAGAGCACAAAGTTAGTCCAGTATTTCAGAAAGGGGCAGTTCATACTGAGTTTTTCATGGTGGCTGAAAAAATGCAAACAGTGTGGTGAAAAGCACTCTCACCCAGCTAATTTAGCCTGGGTATAAAAAACACAGTCCTGTTCTTTATTTCATTAAGGCAGAGGGTGTGTGATCAGAAACCACACCAWAACACAGGGCCAGATGTGTAGCGTTTTAGAAACCTCGCCCAGAGAGAGCAGCCGTACATGGCCTGTTCAAAGGTGGAACGTGATGATGTGGGGGGATGGGTCCCCCCAAAAAGGACCCCCCAGGAAATGCCCATTGGAAAGGCTAGCACGAGGWGGCAGACAGCTGGTTCCAGGTGGAAATGGAGAACCCCCGGTGAGAACAGCATTCGCCCTGCGGAAAAACTCACACAAACACCCAGAGAGAAAAAGAAAATTTAGAAAAAATTTTCAGAAACACTTATTTCAGACAGACAGTTCGTGTGTGAAAATGATGATGATTAAATTATACAATTGTAGTTTATAAATAATATTACACAGAAACACATCAGTCCTCCGTCTTATCCTCATATATAAAAAAATGCCCTTGTTCTTTGAACAAAGGCCAGGGGGACGCCAGGTGTCATATTCTTTAAGCACACAGATTGCAATAGTCCCTGTTGCTTTATAGCAAAAGTTTATTCACCATTCATTTAGCAATGTAATACATTCGACTGGCCTCTCAGGAACTGCCTGTGAAACAGGTTTTTAGTTTTTCTATTATGTATTTATGATCAGCTGTGCTGCACGTCTATGTAAGACCAACAAATTTGCAGCCTCAGCTTTACATATGTGGTGGAAAAAAAACCTAAGAGGAACCGATGTCATTATCACCCCCACACACGCACACACATGCACCCCCCCTCCCTCAAACACCCACGAGCTGGGCCCCCACACCCTTTAACTGTGCCTCAGTTGAGATCCAGCGAGTATGAGTGGGCCAGATCGCRGGGYGCTGGACAGCTCCCACTGAGCCACACAGATAAGGTCTCGTCGTGAGATAAAAACCCTGAAGTGGCTGAGGTAAAAGCTGAGCAGCGGCRAAAGATGTGACGATATGAAATGTTTGAGGAGACATGACAGGTGTACGAAACGCGTGCAACGCGACGCAACTAGGAGTTGAGGTCCACCCACTTTTCCAGAGTATGTTTTAAAATGTCTTTCAACAACATGGGGGGAAACAAGGTCAGATCTGAAATACCCCACAATGTGTATTTAAACGAAAGGTCCGCGAGACTGCAAATGCGGTGCTGTTTCTGCAGACTCACGGTCATCGTATTTAGTTTTAGATTAAAAAATATGCAAACAGTACTTCCTTATCAACACGTTTAACCATATTTTTTCCCTCTGAGGACTTTTTTATATATATAAGTGACTGGGCTCTTAAAAATGCAGGGGACCAGCTAACCAAAAATAGCACAAAACTCCCTTATGGCAATAATTATTGGCAAGCATTATGCAAAATTTAACCAAACTCAAACAACAAGTAATCAGATGTTCGTATTTCTCTAAATACTAAGATCAATTTTTCAAGCTCAGTAAGACAGATAGTCTAAACAGGTGAAGACCACAATAACCTATTGAAAACASGAACAGATAAGGTTTCAAAAACCAAACTGTGTAGACACGCCTCACATAGGCAAAACATTAATTATGCAAAAACACCCATAGGTCAAACACCTGACAAAAACATAATCCAAGAAAATATAAAATTATCAGGTTCACCCTTAAAGCCAAAAATTNAGCTAAATCCCCCCTAAAGGTTAATCTTGGACAATATCTGACGATCGACTCTTTTAAATGAAACCAGAGAGCGTTGACAGAGAGGAGAAGGTAGAAATGACTCAGCCTGTAACTGAAAACATAGATGGAGGACCTCAGCTTAGCTTGTTTGTCACGTTAGCACTGAGCTAATACATATAAGGCAATATAGCGTTGGCGCTAGTGCAAAGGCTAACAGGCTAAGCTGAGATTCTTCTTCCATGAAGCAGCTCTATTGTCCTCCATCCATATTTTCAGTTACAGGCTGAGTCATTTCTACCTTCTCCTCTCTGTCAATGCTCTCTGGTTTCATTTAAAAGAGTCAATCATCAGATATTGTCTAAGATTAACCTTCAGGATGGATATAGCTCACTAGCAGCCTCGCACCGATGACCTATCCACGTCATCATTTACCCAGAATGCTTTGCATGTAAATAAAATGTCTCTGTCCATGTTAAAATAGATTTTTAAAAATTAGAAAAACTAAACAGCCTACAGTATTTTTACAGTCTTTATTTTACTGTTAAAATATATGTTTATCAAATAAAGTCTACTGTAATGTTACAACTAATCATGGATCCTTTTAAGCTATCATTCTTCTTTTTAGACCTTTCTCCTTGGATCATTTTGATGACTACCAAAAGCACTTCACTGTCATGAACTATGCAGAGGGGGTGGAGCTTAAACAGGTATATTTTAATGCACTGTCACCATTTTTGTTCTCTTTTCAATGCCTTTGTTATTATCCAGTGGCTCATAGCCTGCGGTGGTGGATATTGTTTAGTTTTACAGGTTCACTTTTTTAAATCACTGTCCGAAGACTGAGGAAGTAGATTCATCAGTAGATTGTCGAACAATCTGACTCATTAAAATATCTTGGAATTACATGTGGACAGCACCCTCTCCTTGACCACTCATGATCATCTGTGCAACAAAATACAACAAAGGATCTAATCGATCCTTTGCAGCCGTGCTAGACTATTTCAACACAGTCACTATTCAGATTGTGTGCTGTATGGCAGCTCAGTGTGGTTCAGCGGCCTTTCAGAACAGCTGAAGAACATTATACTCAACATCTGCTCCAAAATCATTGGTGGAGAACAAATTCACTGAGCTGTGCCAAAAACAGGCTGTAGGACTGGCAGACAAAGTCTATATGAACTCAGCTAATGTGCTGAGCAGTGACGTTGAACTTCTGCCATCTGGGAGGTGATTCAAGGTGCGTCGTTACAGAAGGAACAGGTACAAGAACTCCTTTGTGCCATATTCCATCAAATTCCTAAACGAGAAAAGGAATAAATGAACTCCGCAGTGCAGATGACATTTTTAGCTTTATTTTTAAATTCTGATGATGAATGCCAATGATATGTGATGTTGATTATGTACATCAAATTTCCATTTTTATGGACTAAAAGTTTTTATCTTATTGGATTTAGGTTCACTACGATGAGTTCATTCCCATGTTTGAGAAGCAGTACCCACAGTATTCATGGAAAGAGGTGGAAGTAAGTATAAATCTAAATATCTTTTTATTATCCTTTTACAGTGTCTTGACAAAGTCTTCATACACCTTGAACTTTACAACATTCTATCATGTTCCAGCAACAAACTTCCAAGTATTTCACATGACTCCCAACACAAAGTGGTGCATAATTGAGGCAAAGAAGGAAAATGAATCATGCATACTGTAGCTTTTCAAAAAAAAAAATAAGTAGGTCCTCTGGATGGGTTCTTCTTTAGTGAATAACTCAGCCAGCGGTCACTCTTTCAGGGATGAAGATGTTCTCATCCTTGATAGAGAGGATCGTTGGTTTGAGAGAGGAGTAAAGGAAGCCATCTTTGTGAAGAAAAACCATCCACCATTAAACAGAGGTGGAGGCCTTCGTGTCCAGTTGTCCGCCTCCTACAATGCTGTCATTGCAAGAATGACTCAGCCCTCTTTGAGCAAAAGGTGTGAATCAGGGCCCCAATGATACCAACACAAATAGGGAAAGAGAGACAAAAACAAGGGGGCTTTGAACCCCCGCTTGCATTCACTACATTCACATAACACAACACGGGTCAGATGATGGGGCACTTGACCCTCTATGAACAATAGAATTAATCAAGCCTATTG